CTTGACCCAAACTAACTCACACGTCGCCATAGCCATGGCCCGATATTTGGCTTCGGCGCTAGATCGAGCAACTACATTTTGTTTCTTGCTCTTCCACGAGACCAAATTACCTCCTACTAGAACACAATATCCAGACGTAGAACGTCTATCAAAAGGTGATCCTGCCCAATCAGCATCTGTGTACCCAACAATCTGCTCGTGGCCTCGATCCTCGAATAGTAATCCTTTGCCTGGAGCTGACTTTATATACCGAAGAATGCGAACAACTGCATCCCAGTGACTATCACAGGGAAAATCCATAAACTGACTTACAACACTCACCGGAAAAGAAATGCCAGGTCTAGTCACTGTGAGGTAATTCAATTTGCCAACTAACCTCCTATATCTCGTAGGGTCTCTAAGAGGCTCCCCCTGTCCCGACAGAAGCTTAGCATTTAGATCCATAGGAGAGTCAATAGGTCTGCAACCCATCATTCCAGTCTCCTCAAGAATGTCTAAGGCATACTTACGCTATGAAATAACAATACATGAGCTAGACTGAGCGACCTCAATACCTAGAAAATACTTAAATCTGTCCAGATTCTTAGTCTGGAAGTGCTGAAAGAGATGTTGCTTCAGATTAGTAATACCATCCTTATCATTACCAGTAATAACAATATCATCAACATAAACCACTAGATAAATACACATATTAGGAGCAGGATGCCGATAAAACAAAGAGTGATCAGCCTCACTACGAGTCATGCCGAACTCCTGAATAATTGTGCTGAACTTACCAAACCAAGCTCGAGGGGACTGTTTCAAACCATATATTGACCTGCGCAATCTGCACACACAACCATTAAACTCCCCCTGAGCAACAAAATCAGGTTGTTGCTCCATATAAACTTCTTCCTCAAGATCACCGTGGAGAAAAGCATTTTTAATGTCCAACTGATAAAGAGGCCAATGACGTACAACAACCATGGACAAAAAGAGACGAACAGATGCTACTTTAGCCACGGGAGAGAAAGTATCACTATAATCAAGCCCAAAAATCTGAGTATATCCTTTTGCAACAAGACGAGCCTCAAGCCGATCAACCTGGCCATTCGGGCCGACTTTGACTGCATAAACCCAACGACAACCAACAGTAGACTTATCTGCAGGAATAGGAACAAGCTCCCAAGTGTCACTCGCATGTAAAGCAGACATTTCGTCAATCATAGCATGTCACCATCCTGGATGAGATAGTGCCTCACCTGTAGACTTAGGGATGGAAACAGTGGACAAAGAAGATATAAAAGCATAATGAGGTGACGACAGACGATGATAACTTAAACCGACATAGTGGGGATTAGGATTAAGTGTGGATCGTACACCTTTGCGGAGTGCAATTGGTTGACTAAGAGGAGACAAGTCCGCAGTAGGTGCAGAATCTGATGCGGGGCGTGAATCACCTGGGCCTGATGCTGGATGTGGACGACGATGATAAGTCAAGAGTGGTGGAGCTGCAGAAGGTTGAACTGGATTATGTGGAGGAGCGTGGCGGCTTTTCTGCCGGATAAAATTTCAGGGGTTGGTCGGAGGGTGATCTACCTCGTGGTGGAGTTGGTTTTAGCACAACACCGACAAAAAGTGACTTTCACTTAGACAAGCCTTAGGTCACCGGAAAAATTACACGATGACTAAATTCTTTCTTCCCGGTTAACGTTGGAATGACGCACAACGATCTTTTCTCACTAATGCTCTGATACCATGTGAGAAGGCACGGGAGAAAATATGTTATTGATATTGGATAATAAATACAATACAAGAGGTCCCTATTTATAGTTATACACTATAAGGAGATATTACTCATCTTCCAATGTGGGACAAGACTACAATATACATATCTGTAAACTAACAAGCATAATTACTTAGATGAACAGTTAAAATAGTATCGGGAGGTTTTAGTTAAGGAGAATTATAATTTGCTAAGCTGGGCAGGTACATGAGAAATACTTCAGGTGTATCAAAGTTGGAAGGCAAAGAAAGGGCAAAAAAGACGTTGGCATTTTGTCATTAACCCTCTCTTCCGTGCTAGGTCAACCTGTGGATTTTCCAGTATAGCGTGGATTTTGTAGACATTAATATTCTTATTATTTTTAAGGCCAAATGCCATGCATTCTTATTGATTATTGTACTATTCTCACACCTTAAAGTTGTCCAGCTTCCAGTTCCAAAGATTTAAGAGCTCAAAGGGTTTACAATTTGTTTGTGATGACGATGATGACTTCTCAGAATTGGGTTCTCCAGTAGAAAGAGCCATTGGGCAGCTGAAGTTATTAACGGAGAAGCCTGACCCTTTTGTGGTATGCCTTTCTGATTTATTAAGAGCTATATATTATATGTCCATATAGGACTTCTTACCATTGGGTACATGGACTGATTTGTTTGAAGATGTTACCAATACCTTTTGAGCCACAGAAACATGATAATGGTAGAAAAGTATCTTCAAGCAAGTCTTCTCGCAGTGAAAGCAAGCAAAGCAGAAAAGGCGGAATCTTAAATCTTGATAAACCTCATCAAACTTCTTGTGAGTTTGGCAATGGCGATGATGCTTCTGGATCGATTTATACAACTTCGGATGCTGCTAGGATGAATGTTCGGAGGTCAATCTCAGTTGGGAATGTACCTTCTACCATCAGCCTTTCTCAGCTTGTAGAAGCAGTTTCAGTCTTTGGAAAGGTCTGTACTGCCTCAGTCCGGGATCTGCCTGATGGGCTTAACTGTTGGGACATCCAATTCGAGGTATGCTATTGATTCTGGAACTTCTGCTCATTAAATTCTCCTCATTGAGGAAAAGTTTGTTTATTAACTGTTGTTAACTGTTGGCAAGAGCTTAGAATCCTGCAACAGAGCAACTAGAGCTGGTGCGTTAACTGTTGGGAAGTCTCGTCTTCAAATCCATCCTCTGCGGGCTTCGATGGTTGTTACTATCAGGATTAAAGGCATATCCAGAGATGCTTCCTTTGGTGAGATACATTCAATCTGTAAAGTTGGCACAACAGAAGGATTGGCATGGGTAAGCAAGGATAGTGTTGATGCCTTATTTACAGTTGAGACTGACACAGAATCGCAATCAATCCTCAAAAAGTAAGTGGTGGTTCAACCTGGAATACAAAATGTTTTATTGTTACTGCATTCATCTGTTTTAACTCTTGTAGGTTAGGGGACTGGGTTATTTTTTTTGATTACTTTGCTATCTCAAAAGTATAAAACTGTTCTCATGGTTTCCTTTGGGAAGGAGTTGGAGGGGAGAAATTAATCCAGAAACCGCTTCTCTTTATTACTGCATCAACATTAATCATGTTCCTCAATATTCCATGTAGTTTTTCACCGACTCTTAGCATCAGTACTCCATATTGTTTGCATATTATTAACTATGAGAGGACTGATATTGACATCTGGTCATTGAGTATTATATCTTCCTCTTTTCCTTAGCAAAACATATTATCTTCCATTATTTGTGGACACTGGTTGATAACCTATGGTATTTCAACTATCTTTTGGCCAAGAATTTTAAATATGTCAATCCGAAATCAAGTTGCTGTTCATCTTGTTTCCAATTTAATTGTGCCTGTACTCTAGTGGATGAGAATATATATACTTGGTGTAACTTACTTATGCATTTCTCTCTTCTTAGGTTAAATGGTACTACTGTTGGTGGTCATCGCCTGTCAGCTTCTTTACTATCGAGCAACTCATCCTCTGCTTCCATGTCTGCAAATGAGGATGCTAGATGCAAGATGGGTTTACAAATTAGTAGTTACTTGACAGTACTCAAATTGCAACTTGAGGAAAAGAAAGTGCATTTGGAGGATCTTCAGATGCTGCATGAGGGAATAATGCACCTTGAAGATCTGCCTTCCAACATTGATTAATCTGACATTTGATTCATGATTTTCAAATTGTTTTCTCTATTCAAGAATGTTCACTTGCTAACAACAGGGTCACTCTCTTCAAGCCTCTCTGTACCCCCTTCCCGCAAACCCTTCAGGTGGCCCCTTGCCCTTGCTTTTAGTTGCTGAAATGAGCCTTTTTGCAGCCTGTCCCATTTGTAAAGGATTGGCTGTCCTATATATGTGCAATAGCGGTGGTGACAGTCAAATATTCAAGGGGATTTTTGCAAATTATCCCTATATGAAAGGATAGTTAACTTTTCCCTTGAGCATGTTCCAACTTTAATTTCTTAATTGACTGATTTCATTATCATATTTGCTGGGCAGGAAAGCTTAATTAAGCTACGCCTGACTATCAGATCATTATCGGGCATTGCTGTGTGTTCTTCCGAGAGAAAGCAAACAAGATGATGGGGCCATTCTGACCAACCCTAAGTCAATGGCCCTTCTTTTTGTTCTCTATACTTTTTACAGCCTCATTTCTAGTAACTGAAAACGCTATTACTGGAGGGACCCTTTTGGAAAAGTCTATTGGTCGATGATTTGTTTTGTGGTGGTTGTTACCATTGATTGCTAACCCGTGCTCGGTTCTTCATTGCCTGTCGCTATCACTGGCTATCTCCTCTCCTAATCCACTTTTAATTTCATTAAGTAAACTTGGATTCAAATTAGATTACCCAAATACATGGAGTAGGAAAAATTGCTCTGTGGACGTAATTTTAGAAAGAAAAATGAAATACTCTTGAATTACTTTGGTATACCCTGAATATCCAACTGGTTGAAGACTACGGGAGTATGTGAGATGGACAAGTTTGAGAACATAGAGGGAATTGTAGAGTGGAATAGAGAAAAGGAAAAGGAAGTCGAATTGGCCTGGATTTCTCAGTTCCTTATCATCATATTACGTACCATACACTGAGATCTAGTTAAATACATACTCTTCACATGTTTTCTTATACTTCTGTTTCTGTTCATATGTTTTTTCAACTAAGAAATGAAAATTTTGAAAGAGTAGTAGAGGGAGCAGGGAAGTGGGGAGGACAAAGAAAGAATGACCCAAATAATCAGGGAATTCTGTGAACGAAGGCCCATTTTCTGAAAGTTGTTCTATTTGAGCATAAAGTGCACAAGTCATTTACTGAAGGTTTTAGTTGTGCACAAGTGCAGTAATTGAATTCATTAAGGACAGAGACAGGGATTGTGTTTAATCTACAGGTTCATCTCCTTTCGGCCCCATATTCAAAATTCTACAAGAACTCTCCCCATTTTCGGGTGCTGATACACTCATTGAGGAGCATTGTTCAATCTTATATTCCCTCTCATCAACTAAAGACTTCATGTAGGAACAAGGCCGGTCCTCGGTCTCCATATGACTAGGCTCCAGCCCTGGACTAAGTTGCAACTCAAATGATGATGGTCCGAGAGGTTGAGTCCTCATTTGCACAGATCGCAAAAGTGCAGCTCTCCTTAAGTCAGCAGAGTGGCATATGTCACTGGGTGATGATGGAAATCGACCCTCAGAATCAGAGCCTCGTTGACGAGGCTGTGAGGATGTGGCAGGAGGGAAGTTGCAGGAATTTGACGGGTATGACGTGGAGGGAGGGCCTGATGAGAACCCATTCAAAGGTCTGTGATATCGGTAGGGTGAGACTGGACTAGTTGGTGTGCTCTCAGATTGGGGGGAGCTGGTAATTGTCAAAGGTTCATAGCATCGTGAGTCATCCGAATCTTCTGACATTGGGGAATACTGAAAGGACATCTCGTCCCTGAAAAAACAATAATATAAAGTCAAATAAAGCTTGATAACAAATAAAAAGGGTGACAGCAAATATAGCATCTTCATCTGTCAACTATATTTCATATTCAGATGCACATGAGCAGGGGCAGATCCAGCCCTTTGGTACCGGGTTTATCTGAACCCGGTACTTTCGGCGCTGAGCATAAATTTGTGTAAAAATTCACTAAAATTGCAACAAATAGTAGATATGAACCCATAAATATAAAAATATCATGAGTTCAAAACTAAAAACTTTAAAAGTTGAACTCATAGAGTTTAAATATATCCTCCTCTGCACATAGTTTGTCAAGTTGCAAATAATTAGGACATTCAAAACTCGGGAAGAATTCAGGTAGTCTATCTCTACAAGTGATTCGGAGAGAGATAAAATGAAAATAAATGCTCCTAAAAAATAACCATATCCAAAAGCATGTATTGTGATAGATTGGTCCATCTACACATTAGTGTCTGTGTCTTCCTCATCGTGTGTGGTTCAGTAAGGGATTAGGGAATTTTGGTCTTCAGAGGACCAAAATGACCAAGATAATCGTATTGATCATATCTTCAAAACAGTGTAATTTTGCTTGATTGTCACAGAAACCCC